GCTCATGACAAAATCGAAGAATTCAAGTGTAACAATGTTTCTCAAATCCTCTCTATAACATATTTAAGAAGGTTTGTAATAATTTTTCTCTTTTATGTATGTCATGGCATCAGTCCGAACACCAGTTTACATCAACTGTTTCCATCTTCTTTTGTTTCCCACATTCACCCGTGAACTATCATGTATGTTATGAAAGCTCAAATTAGCTGGATTGCTAAGTAGCTACCACAATTTGTGCAGCTGTATACTCCAAGCATGCTCAGAATATTACATGTTTGTCCTCAATATTACCGAGACATAACATTGAACTCGGGAGATTTTATGTATTGAAACAATAGCAACAATTATGCAGAGTGCTAAAGAATTAAGCAGATAGGTTATTCTGGCAGCACAATGCAAAAACATATGGCAATATGCTGACTAGAAAAATGTATTCAGAGATAAGGGTATTGTATGAAATGAAAAACAAGGATAACTAAGAAATCACTTAGGCTAACAGTCAACCTAATTACGATTTTAAGGTTTCTTTTTAAAAAAATGTGGAAGAAATAAACAGACAGGGCATGTACCTCCTTATTACCAGTGGTGCTGCTACACGGTGACATTTGACAACATACGAAGCTATTCCAATATCGTCGCGCCATCTCAATATCGTTGCACCATACTTGTGTGTGTCATTGGCATCACAATAGCATTGTGATTGTTACCCTCAACGTGGTCCTCACAACATCATTGTCATCATTATATCATCATCATTGTGTCACTATTGTCCACTTTTGTCACCATTTCACCATTCTCGCCAAAAGGATGAAATTGAGTCGGTCAGTCAGTCTGATGAACTACCTAACTGCTCGTTGAGCCTGAACAAATTCAGTGAGCTGTGTGTTCAGTTCAGTCACATGTTCTGTCAGTCTGAACATGTTGTCCAGCCTCGGATTCTAAGAGGAAACAACTTAAGTTAGAAGAAATGTAGGCACACATGAATAAAGAAGAAAGCAAGATAACGGCAAAACCTCCAATTTTATGAGTTACAGCTTGGTACGCTGTTCATTAGTACGTTGTGCTTTGAAGTTGCTTTCCTATTTACCACACAATTCATTCATAATAGAGGGTCAGAGGGGAACATTACTGTGGAAGTTGTTATGGCATGCATATATGGGTGGGTGTTGCCCTGCAGCATATGGCACCCACGGCTGCACCACTTCAAAATGGTTCCAACTGTGCCCTCCAGTCATTCAGAGCATCACCATCAGTGGACAGCCTGTCCAACTCTTCCTGTGACAGTCCTCGAAAACCTGAAGAAAAGCGGGGAAGACTGGTAGCAGTCTGCACCGCCCACAGTGATCAATGGAGCGCCGTTTAAGGTATGCATTCTTTATCGGAGTGTGTGAATAAAAAAAATTACGATGGAATTGAATACAAATCATGTACTGACGACACCAAATCACATATACAAGTCAGATGCAATTTGAATAGTTTACAAATACCAAAGTGAACGCCGGCAATATGGCCCTAGACATTTCATTTCAAACAAGGATTCACAAAGTTTAAAATAAGTACCATTACAAAGACTTTTTACTGGCAAAAAATGACGTTATGAAAACTGAGGTAAACTCATATACAGCCCTTTGAGATACCCTGTGATTAGGTTAATGTGTAGCAGTCATTTCAGTGTTCAAGGTGGCACTTTGTAAACAACATCTAGATAAAACTGAATCGTAAATATTATGCATTGTTGAACCAGACACCACATATACAGCTAGGTACATAAAGAAACCAATAAAAAAGAATACAAGATGTCACAGCATGAGACTTAATGCCACAAGCGTGTTGTGTCGGCAAAAAAATTCGTACTAACACAACTTATGGGTCTGTTGTTATTCATGTAAACATACATACGAGAACATGTGAGGAAACATATGGAGTTGATAGTCCTGTGAAAGCTTGAGTTGCATGCATCTTGATAATTCAATGATTAAAATGCAAAAACTTGCCCCTCACTTCTCCAATGTCAAATTCCTTTGGTGTTTTTTTATTGGCACTGATTACTTGAAAAGTATACATAAGCTGTTTGGTACTTCACAATTGCACAATTTAATTTACCAACCAAATTGAATAAAATGCGGTTTGATTCATTAATAGAAATTTCTTAATATTTGCACAGTCCTAGTTCTTAACGTTTGTCAAGGAGACATTAGAGTGTGTCAGTACATCATTACTAATCTTCAGCCAAGTGAAACCTGAAAAAACGTGATGCATGCACAGATACTGAAGACCAGAAATATAAGGTATTCAAATTGGAATAGCACATAAGAGAAGTGATGCATACACTGACATTGAAGGATAGCAATATAGGGTAGTCAAATTTAAATACTTTACAAAAAAGAAGAATAATGAAACGCCACAGCAAAGCTTAACGCTACTAAAATTAGGCAGTAGTTGTAGGTACTGAGGCTATGTGGCTAGTGATATGACAACGAAGGTGAACCTGTTCAAAGACTCACTGCTAGGGGCTTCAGAAAAAAAGAATTCAAGCTATAAAACCCTTCCTCAATCACTTGTATCGTTGGGTACAAGTTAGTGCTAAAACCTATTAAATGTGAAGGAGCCAATAAATGAGTTCTTTAGTTCTTTTCAGGCATACATTAGTGACATGTAATGAGTAAGACTTGAGAGCAGAGATGTTCAGAACTGATCTCAGAAATTGACAGTAGCAGAAAGTGCTTGGATTACCAGCTCAGTCAGCCTCTGATAGATTAGTTGAACCCATAAAACAATTAAAGCTACAGTTAATCCACTGCATGTATAAAGCTTCTGTCGAAAAGGTGTCATAGCCCCGACATTGCTTATATCACGTTAGTACTATAGTGCAGTTGTGTTCATCAAGAAGTCATGAGTGCTCCCTGCCGGTGAAAAGCAAAGTTAAGGCATCTGCACAGTAAGGGTGCCGATAATACTGAAGGAAGTGCAAAGCTGGCCATCCTTCTTTGTTTCTTTTTCGGTTTTCTCATTATTCCCTCCTGTTTTTCTTTCTTTTTCTCCTGTGCTTTTTTGTCGTTTTTTTCTTTATTTCTTTCTTTCTCTTTATCTGCTTCCTTCTCTTTCTTGCTCTTCTATATTTCTTGCTATTATTATTCTACATAGTTCTGCCTATGTTAGGTCAAGTGCAAAAGTTATTGTTTTTATTTTTTGGTGATGATGATAAGTGATTATCATCAAGGTGCTCAAAGAACAAGAGGAAGAAGGCTTCTCCTGGGCACGAGCAAGTGTTCAATGTGCTATTCATGGAGCATTACTCTAAGCGATGATGACTCTATACTACAGCATATGACAGCCCAACCTCCTAAAAAGCTCCACTCTTTAAAACAAAATAAAACACCAGCTCTTCGTGGAAGACGCAGCACTGTCACTGCGAAAGCTGGAAGAGTGGCCTTTCACAGCCTTTTCTGATCACTTTTTGGGTAACTGCTACAAGTACTCTTGCTGAGTACCCACTTCGCCATATATAAGAAAGGAAGAAAAATAACTTTATCTTAGTCCTGCATAATGCGAGTCATAATTTTTGTGTAGTTGGCCGACATTCACTATGCCATCCTTCGTCACTCTTCAGAGAAGTGAGGTATTTACTAAACCTTAATATTATGCCTGAAGAACAATGCTTGAAGTGGGTATGTGCCACAGTTTATAAGCGGTCAAGAACAAGCTTTTGTAATGGGTTGGAGTACAGGATGACCCACTCGTTACGCTATTCACAATGTGTGATGCCTGGTTGTTCTTTTGATGTTCTAAAACGCTTTATTACTCATATTAACGCAATTGCTTTCCCGACATCAAGCCTGACTAAGGCCAGCTTGCCAACAAGTCCTAAGCACCGACGGGGCTCAGTGGTCGAATACTGAGCTGGAACTCAGGGGACCCGGGCTGAAATCCCACTGTGTCCTTGGTATTTTTTTATTTTTCTTATTTCGTTCAATAGTGGATACAGGGGCGGTGGTAGAAACTACGCCGCCACATGTGAACCATGCTGTGATCTGATAACAGCGTTCGCTGTAAGATTATCAGCTCTTGGCTGCCATTAGCCAATCAAAGCGCCTGCATTAATGATTCCAGTAGATAAATCTTTTGGATACCTATAAGCTGCTTAGGGCATCAATCCATTGCTCACCTCTAGTCAAATCAGGCATAATGTAACATCAACAGCCCCTCGACAACTCAAGTGCACACTGGCAACGTGAAGGAATAGCCAGAGTCTGGTTGAAGGCAGCGCTTATTCACCATGACCGCTCGCCCAAGGTGCACCTAGCGAACTCTTCCAGTCCCATCTTCCAACAGCGCACTCCCGCTCAGTTGAGAAACAATCATACAAACAGTTCACGTTCCTTCATTTTTTGCTCTCAGCAAAGAGAACAGGAATTCGAGTGATACTCATCTTCAGTGGAACAACCGGTGCCGACCATTACTGCTGATATACAAAACCTAATATTCCACTTCAGACACCACTTCTGCTTTTCTCTCACTGCTAGTCACATGGCCTGGACCGCGATGCCTGCCTGACCATCTTGAGAATTCACAGTGGTGGTTTGCTTTCCTTGACAAACTTTCCCAAACAATAATTCAGGAAAACCCACCACAGCTCTACAGTCACTACTCCTGACGACACCTGAGATGTCAGCGCCACAAATCTGCATACGTTGCAACCTAACAGGTCGAAAAAATTGTGAACAGCAGCCGCTCAGGCATTCTGAGGTGTTTGTGCACTCCGAGACTGGCTCCCTTTTCATTGAGAAAGTATCAAACTCAAGGTCCATGCTACACTGCCTGCACTAACTGTAACTCATATATTGTAGTTATTACCTCATGAAATTTCCTACTCGTTACACTTATTCAGTAATAAAGAAAAGAGTGTTCTCATCTAGCCTGTCTAGAGAGAATAGTAAATGCTTCATAGGCAAAGACGCAGATTCAGTTTGACTTTTCAAATGTGGAATACTCTAATTCAGGGGGTCTCTTCTGCTTCGACTGAAACTGACAATGCTGAGCGGCGGCTCTCGGACAACAGCAAACGGCATCCTGCTGTAAGGCCACTGCTTCAACACAATCAAAGCCCCAGCTCGGACACGAGACCAGAGAGTGACTACGACCGGCCCTGGGACTTGCCAAGGATCAAGCGCAGCAATGGTGACTCGCCTCCGCAAGTCCCCGACCATAGGTAACAAACCAAAGTGGTCTACTGAACTGCCTGAATGTGTTATGTATGCTTCATGATTTGGTTTGTTCGCACCACAAGTTCATTTGTAGCATTCTGCTTTAATTTTTGTATAAAGCCCACTCATTAATTGTTAAACTGTTATTTTGTCATTCCGCTTGGTTAGCACTTTCAGCAAGATTTGCAGAGTAATCTTCCTCTGTAATGTAATCTTACTCCGTAATCTAATCTTCCTCTGTAAGTAATCTTCCTCTGTAAACATGTAATGGCATCTCATTTTATGAGCTTGATGTGAGTTGACACCCGTGCATCTCCAATAGCTGTGCCTCGTTGCTCATATTTCACTACCAACATCACTGAAGGCAGGCTAGGAAACAGGCTAACTGTAATTTAAGCCATTATATTCAATGGCACAAAAGGAAGGCAAGGGCAAAGAAGCAGGCATAAATAAGACACACAGGAGCACCAAGTGACAAAAGACCTTGATGGTTATAACAGTTAACAATAACACTAAAATGTTGACACAAAGGACTGCAGGATTTTACCCAATTTTATTAATGGGTCTTGAGTCTAAAGAAACAAAAACATGCTCAATTACAATTTTGATATGAGACAGTTTGTTTATTGTTTCAACAAGGTCTACAAAGGTACAAAGTGATGAGAGCGACAGACACAAGAGCATTGACAAGTAGCCCCGCCGCGGTGGTCTAGTGGCTAAGGCACTCGGCTGCTGACCCGCAGGTCGCGGGTTCAAATCCCGGCTGCGGCGGCTGCATTTCCGATGGAGGCGGAAATGTTGTAGGCCCGTGTGCTCAGATTTGGGTGCACGTTAAAGAACCCCAGGTGGTCGAAATTTCCGGAGCCCTCCACTACGGCGTCTCTCATAATCATATAGTGGTTTTGGGACGTTAAACCCCACATATCAATCAATCAGCATTGACAAGTAGATGTAATGAGGATGTTAATACATCCTGAATTTACACAGTCCTTTGTGTCAAGATGACTTGCATAGGCACTATGCCAAACTTAGCGTCATCAATTGTCTGTCCTTTGCAACTGAAAATAAGAAAGACCTTTTGCAGCACAGCATGAAGTTCGTAAAAAGTGAGTAAAACAGTGCAGTTGTCTCTCATATAACATTACTGGTAATAGCACAACAGTGCTTTCTATTCCAGTGCACTGCTCATGAACTTGCTAGAGTCCTTGAATAGGTACACGAGCTCCTTGAATTCTTTCCAGGAGTACCAGGAAATTCTTGTGAAAGTATCGCTGTGAAACTTTTAATTTGTTGAGGAGACGTGTATCTATAAATGCTGTACACAGTCGTTGAGTATTGATTGAAAGGTTTACAGAGAATTAATATTATTTTTTCTCAGCACAGCCCAAATATCAAAACCTGATACAAAGAGTAGAAGGATGAAAACTGCACTAGTTATCATTTAGAATAAAGAATACGTGTGTTGGCCTCGAGGACATACCATGGCGCTACCTACGTGATGACGGCACTCATAGGATGCGGGGTTGACTTTGTCTGTTAGAACACCGCATTGCTTGCGCCTTTGCTGTGGACACGTGCGTACTTCTCTTTGTTTTGAAGCTCAGTGCTTAAAGAATCGGTAAGACCTGACAATGCGGGCAAGCAAACTATGAATTGGTGCCCCCAGTGGCACTCTAGTGTCTAATTTTCATGGTAAAATCGCGACTAAGAACCGGTGCAGCCATGGAGGACGATGCAAGTGGTGTTGCGAAAGCAAAGCTGTCGTATTGCACAACTACCCATCCTATCTGTGACATTAAAACGATTGCAGCGCTGGCCTCTCTAGTGGAGGCCCTCGTGGCCAATAATGAAAAGTTCATTTTTCAGTATGCACAGTCCTTAATTCAGAACTGATTAACTCTTGTGTATTGAATACTCGATCTATGATGCAGAAATTTATACATGTACTCACAGAGGCCTGGTCACTCTGTATATTTTGCATGCTTTTAATTCATTCTAAGAACTCTTATTTTAATCTGTCTCTGTAATATAAACCCTGTCTGTTGGCACAAAAAAAAAACATTTAAAAAGCATTTCAGAGCACTCCCTAGTAGTCAAATTATTTTAGAGGGCAAGAGCTTTGCCCTGAATTATTAAATTTACGTCACTTCCCTTTGTCTCCATAATTGAAAATATACCCAAGCTAGGTACATGGCACACCCTGCACTATACCACTTTAAAAAATTTCTATAGGTTATGAAATATTCAGCATAGAATTTATATTTTACAACAGCCGCTGGCCTAGCACCAACTTCTTGGGAAAGGGCATGCTCCCTCTAAAAAGAATTGTTGGCTTTGCTATCGTACATAACCTGCCATATTATTTCACTATATGTATATTGAATCTAACATCGTATGTTTAGTCCTTACCACGACAGCTGTATCATGATGAATGTGGAATGAAAGCATGTTTGTGTGCTTGTAAGATTTAGGAGCACACTGAGGAGCCCTAGAGGTCCAAGTTAGTGGGGAGTCCTCCTCTGTGGCACATCTCATTGCCCCACGTAAAGCCCCAGAGTTTGATTCAGTCTCACGGACACTGTAGGTCCCGGCCGGCTGTGCAGTCGCCCACGCAGCACACTCCAACTGTGCCCCTCTCAGCCGTCCGGCTGCCCCCTCCGTCCCCCGAGTGCACAGCTCTGCAAGCCTCGGATCCCTGTCGTGCCAGTTCCTGCGCCAACAGCTTCGAGCAGCAGTGGTGGCGGCCCTAGTTCCTCCTCTCCTTCTGTGGCCATGATGGCCTCCTCCTCCTCATCCTCATCCAACACGTCCATCGCGATGGAGTCACCTGCTGCAGGTCCAGCTGCCAGGCCCAGTGGTCAGTCACTTGCTGCCTCACATTTATTTCAGCCCATGGCAGTGACAGTTAACCAGCTACTTTTCTTTCTTCACATTTGTACATTTTACAATTACTTTTGATGACATCATTTATACTTTCCTTGGTATCATTGTCGGTCAGTTCTCATGAATCAGCTATTAGTAACATCATTTTTAACAGTGAAGTTGTTCAAGATTTTATTCTGCCAGTTCGCATTACCATAAAACTAGCTGCATCTTGTGTGTGCAACACAATAACTCAATTGGCACAGATACTCTTCATCCTCTTCTTTATCTTAGGATTCTCTCACTGCTTTCCTCTTCATTGATAATTTTCTCACTCATTACACCTTTAGTGATACTTCATCACTGATTGCCTCCCTGGCTAAAGAAATTGTCCCACTCATGAGCTAGACCAGTGAATTCAGGGGCCATCCTGATTTTTATCCCAGTCTGAAGTCCACACCTATAGGAGCAGGCTCAAATTCTTTTGTGCTGGTCATTCTCCCATGACCAAAACCATGCAGCACAGGTTTCTCTTCATCTATTTATTGGACTAGTTTTATGCACATTCGTCGTGCGGTTCATGTCAACGACAAAGGTCGAGCCATGTGCTTCTCAGTGCACATTGCTTTGCTTTATACTAATGATTTAGGCATGTCAGCTTGTGCTCTCAAAAAAGGCAGACTTTGAGACTCATGTATAAACTTTCTGTTTGGCTGTTATGAGTGCAGAAAGTGCTGCATACTTTCTGTCTGGGCAGCTGCAGGGCAGCTGTGGCTTGCACAATTTCAAGTCTCCTTCTTAATATTATAGTTCAACAAATGTTTATTGTTTTACCATTGACAGTAACTGCAAAATGTTATGTACATTGAGAAGAAATTCCAGCCAGCATCTAGAATAAGTCATGTAGACTGCAATTTTTTAGGTGATAACTATATTTACTAGAGCTTGACAACAAAAAGAAATTCACAGAAATACCTGTATGTTGTTAAGGTATAACTTGGATGTGAAAGGATTTACAGGGGCACCAATCAAAACTAATTTATGGCTTATTAAAATACTGTTTTCAAAATTCAGCTAAGTGCTGTGAATTACCTTGTCCTAGCACCAATCATAGCATTGGTATATTACGGCCAAAAGTAAAGGCTAGACAACAAAAGATTTCTGTACCGGGGTATTCCCAAAAAACAAAAAATAGATTTGTTTCTTAAGAAGATGACACATCACAATGGTCCGTCGTCACACATCTTATTTGTGTTGTCTTTATACTACTGTATTAACATATAAGGTGAATAGATCGAGTGGACACTAAAAATCTGATAGTACTTATTGCCATTGAACTGTATGAAGTACATCACATTAGATTGTATGTGACATAAAAAGTATTGTAAAAGATGTGACCGTTCAGGATGTCTTCATTCCCAGCCTTCTGAATTTTCTTATTGTGCTCCCTCTTCACAGCTCCAGCGCGACCCATGCTCAACCTGAACTTGAACCTGAATGCATCGAACTCGCCCAAGCGGTCTCGGCACAACCTCACACTTAACTTTGGTTGCGCCGCTTTGAGCGTCGTCGGCGAAAAAATAGACACCAGTGTCGCTCTTGAAAAGCAAGGGTGAGTGCCTGCTTGCCTAATTAAGCTTCCTTTCTCCTTGCACGGGCCCCACAACACGGACACATGCACCCAGGCATGCACACACTCACGCACACTCACACAGACACGCACCTAGTTTTTAGGAGCGATACTTTGTAGGCTCGCACGATGTCCGTTTTCACTGTTGTCATCATAGGTACCTGTCGGTCATCGAAACAGCTGCAGTGCCGCTCCAGCACCCTCTCTCAGCAAGCGTATCAATAAAGGTCATGGCGTCGTCCGCAGAATCATTCATAGAGTGCATGCACTGTGCATACCGACCGCACACATGTGTTGAGCCAGCGCCGCGCCACTCGTAGGTAGAGCATGTACACAAGCCATGTACAGCCCACTGCATTGCTCGTACTTAGGCTGTGCAGCGCTAGTGCATCTATCATTGGTGCTATACTTAGTAAAATAAAGTTACGTACATTGGCTTCCAAAGAGCTTCGCTCCATTATCAGCATTCACTTCATGGATCTGCGGTAATTTTTCACATAACCGAAATCACACACTTAAATCAAATGGTTAATCGCAACTGAATGAAACCAACAATATCAAACGTTGCTTGTATGATTAAATTAACATGATAGCGTTGAAGAGGTTGTTTTGCAGAAATACTCGCATTGGCGTCTTGCTGTGGTTGTTGGTTGGAAATCAAAAATCATCTTGACTGTGACCAAGAAATCAAGAAAGGCTAATTAAATAATAAAGATTTCCAGGTCCAAGTCTGATTTGAACCCAGGTCACCTGCGTGGCAAGCACGTGTTTTACCACTGAACCATGCTATTTTTTTTAACTGCTTCAAAAAAAAGCTGTGTATGAATATCATGTAGTGCGTGGAGTCTTGTTAATGCATGTAATACTCTATGGCAGAAGCGTAGAATTGAGGCAGGCATCGAAACATGTGATTGTGCAAAGAGTGGGTGTTTTAGAGGCCCACCCATTTCGAAGCGCTCAGGCATATTTAATCATCATGAGCAGCAGAAGCATCAACAAATAGAACTGCTGTGCATGTCTGTGCGTCCTTACAGATGCATAGTGAGCCCATTCCTGATTCCCAAAATGAATAATTAAGGCGTGGTGGGCTCTTAACAACTGTACTTGCAGTAAACATTCTAACATCCTAGCATAGTTTGAAAGAGCCAACATTATGTACACAGTCACCCGTTTCCTGACGGCACAGTTGAGGTATGCACCAAGAATAGAAGCCAGGCTAGCAGTTGAAAAGCGGATGCCCATGAGGCCAAATTACGCTATCACATTCTAGTCTTGAAGATGAAGCTGAAGCGTCCTCACAAGTTTTTTATATTGTACCTAATTAGTGAGCTGACGATGACCGATTATGCAGAATTTTAGTATTCACATTAGGGCCAAGTTTAGAGCTAAGTTTTACGTTGTAGAGGACATTCCAAAAGAACTGGTGCAACCTTTTCTGCCAATATGCTTGCTCCGACCATTTAAAGAAAGCCCACAAAATATGAAAAGATCCACGTGGCTGCACTAGTGTGCTGTCATATTTCAGTGTCCTCAACTGTGCTTCTAGCCAAAGAACCGTGTGCACACAAAGTGTCAACTTATCGCTTATCAGGAACGACGATGCTTCCTTTCTTTGTGTCACAATAAAAAATGCTGACACAATATGAGGCTGATGCCTAGAGCTATGACCACTCATTTCTCCATGGTTCTTTCACTCGTTTGAGCCTGTACTTTACTTTATATCACAAGTGCACTAGGGCACACAAAGAGAAATTCCATGGAAACCAATGTGGAGCTGATGGTTGTTGCAGTTTACTTAGTGACCCAGAAGAGGCCCTCCGAGAGTTCCCTAATGGTGCAGTCTAATTCTACAAGTACACAATGCGCATGAGTGCAATTCTGGCTACTTTTCAGTACCCTCTTGTCGGTATTATATTATTTAGCTACTCATTTAGTGTACGAAATCATTTCTATTGCATGTGGTTATTTTAAATACGTGAGTGACTGACGCCTCAGTGTTTAAGCATAAATGCTTCAAAAGCAAAATGCAAAAGGAAGTATTTTTAAAATTCAATGAAGGTAGCTGCTTTTCCTGTAAGGCTGTATTATACTCAAACTTTGTTAAAACAAAATTATGTTTGCCACAAAAACACTTCGTTATGTCCAAGATTCATTAATAACATATATTCACACTATTCTTATGACAAAACATATTCAGTTACTTCAATATAACCAATAATTTGCTATATTTGGGCTTATTATATTGAGGTTTCGGTATTTATCTCGCTCTTGTCATTGCCATGGCAGTCACAATGACTGTTTGCCATCTGATTTGATCTGCAGGTCTCTCATATATGGATATTTCATGTCCCTTAAACAGAAGAAATGGCAAAGTGATGGCTTGACAAAGATACTTTGGGCATTAGCATGGCTGAATGGATGTTTCTTGGTCTGCTGTCTTTAACACAACAAAGACGACACAAACGTTTTTCAGCAGCTGTAGTATCTAGACATATTTTCCTATATGTTTGGTGAGCTGGGCAATGCTGTTGTGTTTTCATGCAAGTTTTATAGGTTTACACTCTGGGAAACGCAGGCATCAAGGAGTGATGTACTATGCCACTATTTGAGCACGGTCTGTTATCAAATACTTTTCAGTTACTTTATTCTTTTTCCATTAAGGTGGTACCATGGCTCGATCAGTCGCCTTGACGCCGAGAACTTGCTCAGGGTTCTGAAGGAAGGAAGCTACCTCGTCCGCAACAGCGAAAGTTCCAAGCACGACTTCTCACTCTCCCTGAAGTAAGCAGATGAACTTCCCACGTTGTCGTAGCCTTTTAATAAATCTTTCTGCGATTTTCCAGCAGGCTCATATGCTCAGCTGTGGCTGTGTTCACAAGCTGACATTCACAAGCTCTCCTTCATTTATTGTATTAAAAAAAAAGTGGACATCCTTTGCTCATCTCTAGCATTACTGTTTAGCCTCTGGTGCATTATACTACTGGAAGCTGTGCAAAAAAGCTTCTAGCCAACATTTTTCTTAGCATGTGGCCTATTCATACTTTTTTTAAATAGCGTTGGCAATATTTAATGAAAAAGATTTTATAGCTGTCAATTAGGAAGGGAATTTTGAGGGATCGTTTCTTTTGTGCGACATACAACCTTGATTGAAAATCAGCACATAATGAAGTCAAGGAAAATATAGAGGGGATTCGTTGTACTATTTTATGTGTTCATAAACGTTGCCAGGCTTGTATGCACATAAACACACAATAAAGTTGACGAGGGGATGACCTCCTCCGTAGCCCAAGTGGTGAGGCCATCGGGCACATAATTTGAAGGATGCAGGTTTTCTCCAAGTTGCCTTCTGATTCTCTTTATTTTTGCACATCTACATCAAGATTACTGCAAACTAGGAATGTGCGAAAATTAAAACTGTCAAATATTTTTGTAATGGTGTTTGCTATTCCATTCTATGCACACCAAAATATTATTATTCGAACTATTCGAACTTCCAGAAGACAAATACAGTCACGCTCAATGTGACGGGCAACACAAGAACGGGTGGCTTCACGAGTTGAAATGTTGCGCATGACTTCCACTTGTTATGCAAAAAAAGCTGCTACGAGATCATCACTACAAGTTTTGGCGCCGTAGTTGTCCGCCGTCACCACTGCCATTATTCGTGACTTCTATCTTGGGAAATAAAGAAAACCTAAATAAATAAAAAAGCACAACGCACAGATTGGGATCCGAAACCAGGCCCTTTGCGCGCCAGTTCAGTATTCTACCACTGAGTAATGCCGGTGCTTGAAGCTCCATTATAAACGGACCCTAGGCAGGCTGCTTCATGTCGGGAAAGGAATCGTCTTATTGTGAGTAATGAACGATTTTAGAACAGCAAAGGAACAACCAGGCATCACACAATGCGAATAGCGTGACGGGTCAATTGCCAAATGCCCAACCCATTACAAAAGGCTCAGGTATACTTCTTCATCATCGTCAGCCACAGCACCGAAAAACTCCACAAAACTTCTTGATGGTGTGTGGCAGGTACCATGCTTTTGCAGTGGAACGACCAAGAACAGCATACTGAGTACTTCTCTACTGCACAAAAATTATGACGATTCATGGCATAGTGAGTACCACGCATGTGTGCTCATAGCAGTTACCCAAAGAGTGTTTACAAAAGGCTCTAGAAAGGTTTGTAGCTTGTAGCTTTTGCAGTGACTGTGCTATGCATTCTGCATAGACGTGGTGGTTTCTTTCATTTCAACAACCAAATGATACTTCCTTATTTGGGATCATACCCAAGTGAGGGAAAAGCGTTTAGTAATGTAAATAAGGGCCAGTGGAGGCCATGCACTTCCATGTTGCGAGTCATATTAAGCACAACTCTGCAGTCCATGTCCAATTGGCAATGGGTCCTTCAAATTTTAAAGACGATAGTTTCTTTTTAGAAATTTTGGTTTGTCTGTGTGTCTGTCTAATGGTTGCCTGTCTGTCAATCGATGCAGCCACCAGAGCGAAAGTTTAACCCCTCGCTGAATGACCACGCATCTTTACCTCCTGGCTGCGTTCATAACTACTAGTGAACATTGTCAATAAAAAAATTGGCCCTGTATCTGCATTTTTACTGCAAAAGTCATCCAAAGACTATAGTCTTGCGTGTGGAGAGAGTGAACAAAACGTTTATTTGATGTTCTGCACGAGAAAATTGGTGAATTGTAATCTGGAAGCGCTGCTTTAGAGAGTCTTGATTCATGCAGCGACGGCGAACGAGCACATCGAAGCATGTTGAATACAAGCGCCATCTGGCAGTTATCTTTGAAAATGAAGGAAGGCGTGTGCGCCCGTGGAGAACGATGCGCGCCTGTATCTGAGGCGATAAGGTGTAGAATGCAAAGCGATGTGCAGGTGCCACTACTGTGTCGTCTTAGCAAAGCGTTGGAAACACTTGCCTTTTTGTGCATCGCCCTGCACTGTCAGCGCAGTGTGATAAATGGTACAGTCCTTAGAGTTACTCGTGTGTGCTTTCTCTAGTAGAAGGCACACATACAAAACATCGAGGTGTTGTTATGGTGCTTTAGAATTGGTTTTTAACTGACAATCGCACAAGTAAGAACGCTGAAATTTCAGAAATACTGGTGGGCGCTGCGGATGGGGTTGGCCGTTTGAGGTATCGTTTGGTGCCGTTAGGGAGATCGTTACCTCTGACAAACAGACAAATGTACAGACAGACAGACCAAATTTTGGTGTCCAACTAATAGTATGCATGTTTGGGCGCAACATCAATACATCAGTGTTAATGATTGATATGTGGGTTTAACGTCCCAAAACCACTATATGATTATGAGAGATGCCGTAGTGGAGGGCTCCGGAAATTTGGACCACCTGGGGTTCTGTGTATAGGTAGTGTGTTACTTCATTTCTAAAATGCATTGAATTCAATACGTAATTCTAAAGACTGCAGTGCTTTTTACGTGGTGGTGGCAATGCGACACTATGAACGAAAAAGCGGGTGTTTCCTAAGTTTCGCTATAACTACGTGTGCTGTCACCTGCTAGTGCCTTTGTGTTCTAGAAATACTTCGTTTTTTCAAATCAGTGACAGATGGTGTCAATATCTCAAGCAGCACCAATTCGCTGATTTTCTTGTGCAGAACGTCAAATAAATGTTTTATTCTCTCTTTATTTTATTCTTTTTCAAATAAAAGTATTATTGGCTGGCAAATGTTGCAACGACATTTGCCAGCAATGCACACAGAAGCGCCGCCAATTCTTTAATATGCTTCGCCTCATCGCACTCGTATTGCGGCAAAGCTACCTATGGTCACATATGTATAGACTCGAGAAAATACTGTTTTCAACATGGAGATGTGGCACAGAGAGGGGGCTCAAATAATGCTGCTCAAGACCTGAAATTTGGGTAACGATTTGATTACATCAATTCATGTACATAAATACAATTTGGCCTCTGCATCACCTCCTTTATGATAAGAGAACTAGCCAAAATCAACCTAGTCAAAAGAACACTTTCATGCTGTTATCTTATAAGAACATGCTTAGGAATCTTCTCCAAGTTTTTCTTTTTGCAATATTGTTTTGAACATTTTGAAAAATATTCTAGAAGTATTGAACAAATATTCAAAAATTTTCGATTTGATTTGCATTCACAGTTCAACATTCGAACTCGATTCACACCCAGTATTTAGCTATTTGCACAGCTCTACTACAAACACTCAAAACAGTAGAATTAATGTCTTTTATAGTACATTTCCTGGCTTCATTATCTGCTTGTTTTCATTAAACTTCTTTCTAGCTGCATGTTATGCTGCATGTAATGCTGCAGAAGTAGTGCTGTTTTCTTCTCTTGGATATAAGAGTACATATTGTTTGCATTAAACTTAACCTTCCCAAACCAAACAGAGCACTGCATTTTCTGCCAAATCTAAATCTCTCAGCAGTGATGTAGCCATTGCTGAAAGATGAATAAGGATGTGGTGGCATTCAAGTGCAAAACCAATCACATCAGAGGCAGTCATTCTATTTAACAGAATTAGGTTTACTGAGTGTATACTGCAGCTGATATAGGAGTCATTATCAGACAAAAAACATGCTGCAACATAATGCAATATTGCAATTGATCATCTTCTTGTGCTGTCTGCCTATAGTTTAATTATATTGCTGCAACTATCTACTGTACGAAGAAACAGCAAGGTTTTTCTGCTATGTCAAGCTATATCAAAGATTCATTTAAAGTAAGCTTAGGTACAGTGACTTACTGTTATAATATGTGAATACAGTAGAAGCCCACTATAACGAAACTGATTGGACGAGGAAAAAATTTCGTTGAAGCGAAAATGTCGTTGTAGCGAAGTCGAAAAAGTATACTTGATCTGCGGTAGCAAAGCAAAGGAACGTTTAATCTCAAAATTCAAAAAGTGTCTGCTGTTTCCTATTTTTCCCAGCAGCGCCACAACGCGATTCTTGCCCATGCATAGCAAGCACATGGTGAAAAGCACGCTGAAACAAAGCCTACAACCTCTCTTGTGAATTAACCAAACAGCTGCATTAACACGTTAACACCAGCAGCTTTCTGCCGTCAAAGTGTATTTGTCAACGCCGAGATAGAGGTAGGGCATCGTGAAGCGCCGAATTTTGCCTTATTCATGCCATTCTTATCATCCAGCACTCGCGGCTTGCTGATTTTGTTGATAATGCGGACAAATAGCTGCTCTGATTAGTTACCACCATGGCCAAGCACGAACGAAATGATACGCATTGGCATCGAAAAAGGCATCGTTCGGCACAGCTGCGTAAAATAAAACCAAGAGTTGAGCGACTGAGCTTCGGCTTCGGATCCTCTGCGGCTCAAAAGCAAGCCAGTGGCAAAAGCAGGGCAATCTCATTGCCATCGCTATCGAGTGATAGTGGCGCCCATGCTTGCTGAACAGCGGCAATTTCTGGTGGTGCAAACACGGGTTTTAGACTTCATGGACGTATTTCAAAATTCTGAAAATGCATCGAAATGTTAAAGACTGTGTTTACTGTATAGCAATAAATATCTGAGCCTGGAATTACACCGTGAAATTTCGTTGAAACGAGACGGCAGAAGAAAAAGTGTTCATTGTGACCACAATATTTATGCATTGACTCCTATGAAATGCTCAAGGGGAACCGTGAATTTTTTGTTGTAGCGGAAATTTCGTTGAAGCAGAGTTCGACTGTATTATGGTTTTGTGACTATGACAAGGGACATACATTGAACTTCTATAAATACACTTTTTCATAAGTTATAACTTTATCAATGTTTGCAGGCATATTTTGCAACCTACAAAGCTACAGAACATAATGAAACATGTTGATTATAAATTCTTGACTTCCATAAAAAGCACTGATATATTACCAAGCAATTGCTTTCTTAAGTGTTTGGTTATGCCTCCTGAAAACCACAGCCAGAACATTTCCTGACTGTCCTTTATACCACCTTTCTCTTTTTCAAGGACAGCAAACCTAGTGAATCGATTGGACCAAGTTCCTGCTAAATTTTAACATGATAGATTTAAAAAGCTCGTTATGGGGAAATTTGTTAATGCTGATGATATTGTTGGTTGTGAGTGAAAAATCATCTTTTCCATGACTGAAAATTTGGAGAGATAGAAATGAAGTAAGTAACTTTTTTGAGGGTGTAAACGAGAATCGAACCGAAACCCTCTGTGTGGCAAGCAGGTGTTCCACCCCAGAAAAACACTGTTTCTTGACACTGCATCACAAAAAAAATACTATGAATGCCTCGTTGTTGGAGGAGCCTCCTTGAAGAAGTACTGACACAATTTCGATATGTCGTAAGAGGAATGTTTTTCGTTACCTTGGTGTGCATTGTTAACACACTCTCCAAACACCAGAGTCAGTCAACACATAATAAATTTCACCTCAATATTAAAGTTTTTCATGCACGTATCCAAAGTATGGTGTCTATGGTATCTTCACAGCATGTATGATAACTGCACATATCCAAATAAGGAAATGCATTCCATAAATACATATGGACAGTGCCCTACATAGCATATGACATGTAGCTAAAGTGGTTGCTTGGGCGTGTTGGTGCGACATATTGAGAAGAAACAGCACGAAATACAAGAAACTGGACAATGAGGCATATATACGGAGCACTCTGTATGTGTCCTTCTTTGTCTGCTTTCTCGTTTTTTACACTCTTTTTTTTTTTTTCAATATGGCATGTGTGTCTGCCTGGTTTGCACCTTGCAAGGTAAAAGTAAGGGCTAGGTCTAAAACTATGCAATGGTTATGTAAAGGTAAAGGTCATGTCAATATAAAGGTTGTATGCCTCATTACCTACATTTACGCACTGCCCCCTCCTTTATCTGCGCAGGAGTGCACGGGGCTTCATGCACATGAAGATAGTGCACAACGAAGACGGGAAGTTTATATTGGGCCAGTTCAGCAAGCCCTTCGAAAGCATCCCTGAGATGATCCACCACTACTCGGTCAACAAGCTGCCTATCAAGGGAGCCGAGCACATGTCGCTTCTCTACCCAGTGATCGACCAGCTTCTCTGAAAAAACTTGTATTACCGGCTGTGTGCTGGCAGCATGGCATAGATTGTGTTTAGTTTGCTTATTCTGTTTTGAATGTCCTGGATTATTCTTCAATGTTTTATATCGTACGACTGAGTGACTGACAGATGCCAAAAGGAAAGACAGAACTTTTTTCCACAATTTTAGAGCTTTTTGAAAATTGGGCTGTATACACTATACAGTACAATGTGCCGAATTCTCTTCTGAGCCTTTTGGTCTGCTTTTGCTAGGGTGTAGTTAGCCAAGTCCTGTAAGCAAACAACTTCTGTGCAGGCTCTGGGAAAAGTACTACAGCTATTGAAATCTAGCCTTTCATTAATGAAGTGCGTTTTTAGTAATGAGGTTTCTCGCATGTTTTTAGCAAAATGAATTCAATTTCACATCTGGCATTATAGGTTTTACAGACTGAAGTGAAATCGTAATGTCAACCTTTTCGAGTTTTTTGTTTCATTTTATTCTGGCATGAATATTTGTGATTTGAAACTTTTGTTGACTAAATAGTGCTGCGTGAACATTGCCAGTAATTGTAACTTGCAATGCTTTTTGAACAGCCGACATTGCTTTCTTTCATATGGAGCTCGAGAAACAGCCTTCCGAGCATTCTCCTTTATTTAGTTTTATCTTTAACGACAGCGGTTGTACTTATAATGACATATCCTGCAGGGCAGGACTCGACCTCAAGTGTAATTGTCAAACTGCTTCATTTGTCGAAGTGGCAACATTCCATATACATAATTCACTCTGTTTTTACTGTAGCCAATGTAACTGGACAAAAAAGTGAGTTAATGTACTTAATATTACGGACTATTTATTTCTTGCTGCCATGATGTGAAACTGTCTAGTCGATTCAGCTTAGGCACTCCCTAGGCAATACACTTTGTTTAATCTTACAGAAAGAAAGAAAAAAAAATTTGCATGATGAGTGTGAAGTCTTTTTACCTGCCAGCTGCAGAGTTAAGCTACAAGGATGAAAATGTGAGCTATGCTTAATAGAAGTGAAGTGGTCCTGGATCAGAGAAGCGCCTATATGGTGCTTTGACTACCTACTTATTAACATTATCAACATCCGGCAAGCTTGGGCAGGCATTCTGCATCAAAATCAAATACCACTTGGAGATGCTCATGCGATTGTACTCGGTTATGTTTTGTCATACTTACTTTTGCCTACCCTGACGTAACACAGGGGAAAAATTAGCTAGACGGTGTTCTCAACTTTGTTAGTCTTTTTTGGAGCCGGTAAAAATAATGATTTTACCGGCTCCAAAATGACCCTCGTGGCACGCACGAAAATGGGCAAATAATCTGGTTGAACTGTAGCTGCCTTACAAAATTTTCCGTTAGATCACCAGTTTGCCTGTGCTTTTGCTTTTGTCTGAACACATGCACAAAATATTTGCTTGTGTCTGTTGGCACATAGCAGGTCGTGGCTTCAAGAGCCTGTAGCAGATGCCAGGATATTACAATTTGCTGCAGTTACAGGGTATCAGGATGTCTTTGTAACTGTTGCTTTAATATTGAGCAAAAATAGCAGATTATGAAGGCAGGACGTGTATAAGCAGAAAAGCTCTGGCAGGCATTTGTAAAGCTCCTGAACAATATGCAAATATCTACAAATGCTTTTCTTAAGATAGCATACTTGAATAACACAAATCATTCATGTAAAGAAGTTATTTTTTTTATGTGGGAGTACATTTAATATGAGAAAACTATTCAATCAACACTTATGGACAGAAAATTAACATGCATAATGCTTACTGTGTTCTGCCACCTCATCTGAGTCTCCTCCGGCACCTTGCCCCGAAGCAACAAAGCAGTAGTGATGTTGCGTACTTAATATGGTGGAGTAGTGCAGCGTTGACAGAAAATCATACCCCTCCTTCACTAGGAGCACACTTCCGCGGTTGAGCATCACCTACATAATATAAGTTTGTTGCACCATAAGCATGTTATCTATATCATTTCGCATGATGCAAGTGGCACAGTGATTTTGATGCAAGCGTCGTTGCCTTGCCGAACATGCTCAACATTCTCAGGCGAGCTCTCTGGCATTGAAACTTTTTCATGCAACCACCGGTTAGTACTTGGCTCTTGATTCATGCCAACCACTAAGTCATGGTACTATGATTGTTGCCTTTGGCAGGTGTACCGTGCCTAAAATGTGATTGCCCTTTTTTTATGTTGTCAATCATTAGCCAGTATTCAAACTGTACTTGTTTGTCATAGAATCCAAAGTTTTGAATCATGTAATAGTTTTATTATAGCAAATATAAAGTTATTGAATTCGGATTTAATGAAGTAAGTCTCAAATGTTTTTTGCTGATATCGGCATGTAATGTGTCAAAACTATTGTCAGATATAACTAACTTGCTTTGATGTATATTATTACCCTGTACTACTGAAATTTCTCTGTACATGTTTGCAAGATAGTACTTTTTCAATATTCTGACGCTCTATTTTGCAAAACTAGTTGTTCTCACAACTCTCGCATTGTTCGCATTTCAACAATACTATGAAACCGCAAATACGTTGTCCATGCGGAATTTCTAGAAGTGTGTATTTGTCCTGGCTAATGAATGGCATTAGATGAGCTGGCACATGGCAAGACGAGTATCGTGATGGAATCTGATGTGCCATTGTAGTCCGAATGAAAACTTTTCTCTGCCAAGTGCATCGCCAAGCTTTCCGACTTTCGTTTGTGCTGCCAACATTGTTTGCAATTTTCGCTGCTCGAGCACATTTTGCGCGATGTGCCTTCTCAGCTGTGAGAATGAGACAGCGGTACTTGGAAGTTGAAAGACGTGCGATGTGGAGCCTTGTGGAGTTGTGCTTTCCCTGCCGGAAGGAGTGTCAGTATCACAATGAATAAAAAGGAGAAGGGTTCTAACTTGCTGTAAGCAGGCTGCTACTAAGCTTGCTTCTGACTTTTCCTCGATATTTATTAGCATATAGCTGTCGCATTTATGTTAGAGGCAGTGCTAGGCACCTCGTGATTATGGTGTATTTTGATGTGCTTTCTGATAGTTGGCAACAAGCTGAAACTGTTGGGGTTGGTTGAGGTATACCAGTAATCTCCTACTTCACTTGCATTAAGCCTGGAAAGATTGTTGCGGGAAATGAACAACCGAATGTGCTGTGGCCGATGCACTCAATTTGCCATTTTCCTAATTTTGAGCATTACAAATGATGCATGTTGTTTTCCTGATGTTATGTAGCACTTTTTAACTAGGTAAATCAACAGTTTTTTTTTCTTTGCACTGAAGACAAACTCTGTCTGCATTCTGCATTGTACCAACGCTAACGAAATCTTTTTCTTTTTTCCTAATTCAGCTCAGTTTTCTACGTCTTGCCTGCTTATGTCGTATAGTAAGAACGGCAGATTTTGGTTGCATCTCTTGCTCGGTTATGCATCGTCCAAGCTTACTGATGTTGACAGAGCCTGTGCATGTGCAATACTATAAGTTCATGAGGGCACCACAGTATTTCAATTATGTACCTAATGCAGGTGCATCTACTTGTAACCAGTGTCGTTGCTCCAAGGCTTGATTAGAGATGTCATTCTTCCAGTTATCACTGGATGTCAGAGAGTGACCTTTGCAGCAAATAAGAAGCTCTCTACCCCTTTTTCAACATTACAAAATGTGTCACGTGCAGTTTCTAAAGGCAAAAGGTGGATAAGCTAAGCAAGTGACTACATGGACATATACATATCAAATCAAATAACGTAATATAATAAATGCTTTTTTTACATGCACGCATGGCCGTAAAATGTGTGCCATGTGTGTGCGTGTCTGCTAGAAGGATCTAGATTTTGTTTCTGCTCTCTAATAAATGTTGGCGGCCTGGTTGGCCACTGCAAAGGAAGGAAATGTCTAATAGTAGTGTGGCTCTAAAGCTTTGTGAACACAACCATTTTGGAAACAAAACTTGTGCGTATGAAATACACAGCTAATGTTTCATTTTCTTAACACCTTGTAGTGACTGGAATGCTACACAAAATCCTAGACACCAAATAATAAAGAAGTTTGTGGATATTGAAATTAATGTTGAAATAACTGTTCACTAAAGAAAGTGACAGCTTTTTTTTTCTTGTATGTTTGTAACTGTTCCTATGTACTGTAGAGATAGGTGGGTGCAGGGTCACAGAGGCTGTATAGCTGAAGATATTTGCGCTCCGCAGAGTTCTTCAAGGCCGCATGACAATGTCAAAGCTCGTGTTGTTGGATGACAAGGCATTCGTTGCTAGCGCTCTCCAGCAGGTTTTGATGTGCAATAGTGGTAAGGGAAGTATTCAAATGATGAGATTTTGGAACGATGATCAAGCATGAGCCAATGTATACTGGCCTAATGTAGCCATGTCAAGTATGTATATTTTGAGCACCAGATAATGAAAAGAACTGCATGAATGATGCAGCAATTGCGCTATAAAACACCATTTCTTGCTTTGATCGAACCGCTTTACAGAACAAATTTGTTGAAGGGTATTGATTTCAGATTGACTCTTATAATTTACAGGCTGGCATGTAGAGGACTTTGTTTCGAACCATTCATCTAATATAGAACTCTGGCATGGTCCCTCAGCATGTTACATTTTTCATAGCAGAACTGATTTACTAATTGATTTGCAAGTGCATTATTTGCATAAAACCATTTTCTGGGCTATTTAATGTACATTGTGCTTGTGTCATAGGCGGAGAGTTTTCCTATTCCCGGAGGGGGCGGGGCCTTGAATAGCTCTTCGACATTCTCTCTCTTTCATAAATATCTATAGAGAGAGAGAAGAGAGAAAGCTTTACTGACAGTATTAGGAAGCTAATAAACTAGTGTCTGTTACATAAAAAAAACTTTCATTTTCCTGATGTGTACATTCCATACTTATTTTGCACAAGAGCCGTGCAAATTGTGCAATTATTGTCATCCTGCGACTTTGTTCAATGTAACCATGGCAGCAGACTTCCTGCTTGTCACTGACCCATGATGTATTTTTTTTAGTCTGAAAAGAAAATAGTATGGCTTGAACAGTTCCCTGTGATAAAGTTGCAAGATAGGATGGCCTACATTCTGTTGGTAATGGATGGCAGGGGGGCTCTGTCCCCCAATGAAGCAGCCCAAAGAGTCCCTAGCCCTCCCCTCCCTTCCCCCCACTCTCCGCTTATGGCTTGTGTTGTGCACTTCATCAGAGGTGTTTTGCTTGATTTAGGTAAACGTGCCAAAAATATGTAATTGTGAATTGCATCAATGACACATTTGTAATTGTAGACGTAGAAGCCTGGTGCTCGGGTGCACTGAAAATAAATGCGAGGAGTGGTCTAAGATGCGTCGAGTAGAACACACGTCCTGTAGATATGTATTATTTTTCCAACTCCCTTTGCACGAGGGGAAAAAAAAGCACATGTAAAATGTAGAGAAATTTCCTCCTTGTGTTTTCGTAGTTATTTTACACCAGTTATTCGGATGAAGTGTGTGCGTTTCCCTTGTTCCTTTTTTTAATCTCCAATGGTCATGTGAAGTGGTGTTAAGGCGAGTTTGTTATTTCTAGTGCGACAATGCCGACAAATGTACAGAAATCCACGAGGTGTTTGTACTTACATGGTGTGTTCATGCATGGGCTTTTAGACCTGGAGGTCAATGCGTGTCCATGCCCTCCACGAGACAGTTTGAAAGCTTGTACAGGAAGAGCAGCTTGTAAATGCTAAAATGCCTTTTTTTTTTCGGTTTTTGTAAATGTGTTGACATTCATCGCACGGTTCTTGCCGGCATTTCGGCTTTTCCAGCCAAGGCTTGATTTGCCTAAGTGTGGCTAGAATTGGCACACAATGTACCAGTTCGCTTGGCAGACTGAAGCGTGTGTATATAGTGTTCTGCAGCCAGAAGGCTTTCAGTTGTTCTTACGACGCTGTAGTTTTATCAGGGACAGCAGCTGTGCATTGTTTTGAAGAAGGAAAATATTCTCTCTTCTGTTAGGGGAGGACAAAAGAAAAGTGATTTCAACTTGTGACACTCTAGTGTGGTCAGTCTTGTACTGAAGTGTTTTTAAATAAAGAAAGTTCTGTAAAAGAATATGTGGTCTTCTATTTTCTAAAACCATCAGCACTGCGTAATAGGGAAGCATGTCGCTAATGTGAAGAAACAGCTGTGAGCAACAACATGCCCAGCCATGCACCCTGCTGCTCTGATCAAGTGTGATTACATCTGTACTAAAATAGCTGAAGGTACTGCGCCTGCTGCTGCTAGTACAGGCGACGAAGCACAACCGTTCGCTGACTGCGGAGCTCATTCATGTGTATTAGCGCAAATGCGTGCCGCCGAAGCGTTCAAACAGCGACGGATCGGTCAGTGGCAAAACAGTCTAAGCAAACAAAAGATTGGCTCGCTAAACTTTTCTAAAACCAGAGATGTTACACCCAGCGAGTATAACGTAGCAACCCTTTCTTGTTAAATAGTGCTCGATGTACATGCCAATGGCTGCTAATGGGGAATGAGAGACAGGAGAATTCGGCTTTTAGATTACGCGCACGCTGCGAATTTTTTATTGTTCAACAACGCACAAGAGAAATCTCCCACCAGCGCTACCTTGCAGGTCAAAGTGTAAGACATGTTACGCAGTACTAAGAGAGACGAATGGGTGCCGTTCTGAGAAGCTTCGCCCTTAAAACTCATTCTTTCCTCTGTGGTGTAGCCTGTGATAACACTACGCCATGCACAACGCACTGGCTATCTAGAGATATCGGCACGTGTTGCGCAGTGGAGGCATGCATGCATGTGGCGGTACGCGCCGCCCACCAGCACTCTTCAAGAGGGGCAGCCTGCGCGCGGCCAACGGCGAAAGGTGCCCTGAACATGCCTTAAATGAATGCTGCCAACCGCGCTGGCTGACTTGACTGCTGCTGCGCGAGAATCATGGACGCTGCGTAGATGTCTCGTGTCCCTGGGCCGACCGTGCCGTAATGCCACGTTTTGGTTAAAAAAATAACTGTTGTGTGTGTTGACGTTACGTGACACAGCAAGCCCGATACCCACACTTGTCGCCAAACGTGGTTTTCGCTCCCGCCCGTGGAAATGGCATGACAGACGTAGGTCTGGACGTTTTTTTTAATATTATTGCGATAGGCAATTATGTGGACACTCTCGGCTGGATCTCGCCGGCCGGCGCACAGAATCGAACGTGGGACCTTAGCGTCGTGAATGCGTGGCATTAACCACTGAACCACCGAGGTTTTTTTTTTTTTTTTTTTACTGAGCCACTGAGGTGTACCTCCTCAACGTTCAAACGGCGAGCTATTTATATCTACCGCTTACCGCTGTTGGCGGGCATCTCAGGGAGGGGGGGGGGGGGCTATCGTGTTTCAGCATTATTAGTAAGTAGCGCAATGAGCGCGCGGCGGCTCTCATCTCTCACGCGTACTTTGGCCTACGGAGAGGAGGAGAGTGGAGCATCTCTCGCGCGCCCTTATCTCCTCATTGGGGAGGATCAAACGTCTTGGCTGGCGTTGGGGCACTGAAACGATTCTGTTGTAGTTACGGGGCGCACAAAAGTCACTGCAATCGTTGCACAGTCTCTGTTTGCGAAAAAGGCGCGCTTTTCGGACACAGCGATGTAACAACTGAGACGCTTATTCGCGTTCATCTGTACCTGTGAGTACGTCCCGTGCGTCATTTGTGCGTGAGCAACGCAGGACACGTTTCGATCTCCTCGCCATTCTGCGTGTGACCTTCCAATTTGTTGCTATTCACGTTCATGGCTTTGCCTTTGCAGCAAAGCTGTCACTTTTTTGTGCCAACTCTCTGTATGGCAACTGCAGGATTTGTGTGTGTGTGTGGGGGGGGGGGGCGATCTTGCCTACCGGTGGCAAGGAAGATTCTTTGCTCCAGCCCACTGATAAGCTGCTGCCACCACAGTTGCACGCATTTCAGCACGTCGATGAGTTGTGCAACACGATCATGGGCCGCATGCAGCAGACTGGCGGTGGACTTAATTAAAGCCACAGGCATCGCTTAATTTTCCACAAATGGACAGACTTTGAAAAGCGCTTCCGAGAGGAATCCCTCTGGGCTGAGCTGCGAGTCTAGCGTGAGCTTGAACCGAAAACTTAGTACATCCGAACTCAGGTTGGCTTGAGTACGTCCGGATGATGCAGGAATTGCATCGCCGAGCAGCACCGACTGCTTTGGAAAGTGTCAGTCGCTCGGGTCATTCGAGGGTTCTTCCAGATTCAGGCCATTTTTTTTAGAGGCGCACATTCGAAACCCCTGAGCATCTAAGCACGGGAGGCCCGCGGTGTACAAGATGCCCTATTAGCTGAGGTCACTAACGTGCCAACGCCAGCGCCTCTATCTGCTCTTGAGTCGTCACTGGCTTGGCTCACCCACGTTGTCAGTCCCTGATACAACCTTACAAGCCCAGGCGCATTCACGGCTATCTCTTGCCGCGCCCTGGACCACTTCGCGTATGTGCAAGGGTGGTGTGAGGTCTCATTCCCATGGGTAAGCTGTTCCTGGGAGCAAGTGTGCGCGGAGCAGCGTCATAGTGCAGATCACTCACTTTTTACTCGAGCCATACGAGAGCGTAATCGGCCGCACCCAAAGTTCCGATATGCCGGGTTAATAAGTCCTGTGCGAGCTGACTGCGACAGGCGCTCCTTTGATGGGTGCTCCGAGACCACTTCTCCGACAGGTGTTATTTCAGTGATAGGCTAACTGGTCAACGCAGACATGAGCAAGGCGTATGCTACCAGTGCGGTCAAACTGGTCGTGTGAGGTGACAATTCTTTACACGCCGTGTAGCGCGAATACAAATATTTCGGGAAAGTGCTGTGGCATGACACTGAACACTGGTAGTGTGCCGCAGCACACGACCATCAATCCCAGGAAACGCAGCCCAGTACGTGCAGATATGGAACAACAAGCTGATGCGTCAGTGATCGTTCTTTCTGTTAGCCGCACAGCACATGTTCAGTTGCCAGAACCGACAAGTAACATTAAAGCGCTGGGAATTATTGTACTGGCACGTCTTGATACAGGCTCAGGAACCTCTTTAATCGGTGGCGCGTTGTTAAAACACTGTAAAGATAAAAAGCTAAAGCTTCGTAACACAAATGTTGATTTGATAATGGCATCAAACCACGTATCAAACGCTGAAGCTTGTGTTCGCCTGAAGATAAGCTCTAATGAGAAAACGAAGCGCCTGTGATGTATTTGTTTGCTTGATCTATCAGTGCCAATGCTACTAGGGCGAGATTTTCTTGCAGACGAGGGGTTCGCGCTCGACTTCCTGGCAACAGACTGCCGCCTTCACGAACAGTCCAAGACAACACCCTTTGCGGAAGAAAGAGACTTCATGCTGGTACGAGGAAGCACGGAAGCGAGAGACAGACTGAGAGCCATACACAGCAATTTGCCACCAGAAGTCTGACATTCGACGAATTCAAGGAAGTGAACCACTAGCGAAAACAGCTGGAGGCTGCGCTGACTTCGTTGATAGTGAATGTTCACAGAGCTTCGTGGGAAGAGCGATGTCCTAGTGCATCGCATAAACACTGGCGACATGCGCAGACTATCAACTGAAAATCTATTAATCGCGCATTGCATTTATATATGACAACCAGGAACAAGAAGAAAGGAAGGAAAATATCATTTGAGCAAACGTCAAACTTTATATACCCGAAGCACGAGGCAGAATATCAGATGAATTACACACATACGTCATTTGCCAGATAATGAAGCTACTCATCTAAAGGAGGGCAACCGATGGTCGGCTCAGGCAGTTGTCATGTTCTTGAGTCATTCTCTCTGCTTCAACAATCATGCGTGTGCGATCATCTTTGTGCCTGTACAATACCACTCTATTTTCAAACAGCGCATGGAAACCATACCTGCTGACATGCTGAGCTAAGAAGCCCTCGTTGCCATTGCGAACATTGCGTGCGTGTTCGTGCAGACGCTCGTGGAGGCACCTCCCAGTCTACCGAATGTAGCACGCACCACATGATAGTGGAATCCTGTATACTACATTCGTGTCCAGTTTGTCCGATGTGTCACGAATGTAGTATACAAAACCATCGATTGCCCTCCTAGATAAGGAGCTTCAGTATCTGGCAATTGGCGTATGTGTGTAATGCATCTGATATTCTGCTTCGGGTATATAAAGTTTGACGTTTGCTCAAATGATAGTTTTATTTCTTCCTTTTTTCTATTTCCTGGTTGTTATATATAAATGCAATGCGGAATGAATAAACTTTCAGTTGATATAGTTTGCGCTTGTCCTTGTCTTTTTCCAGTCCGCGTTTTCCACCGCGTAGTATACTTATAGATCATGTATCACCAACTGGCCCAATCGTGCACTTTGGTTACCTATATTTCTAGTTCTTCGGGCAGTGTTTTGTTTCTAACCCTTCATCCGTCTATTCTCATCACCGTGGTTGCTCTAGCTACCTGCCGTGCCCATTCAACATTCGACAGAAGCATCTGCTACCGGATGTGAAAAGACTATTCGGTGGCTTCCTCCCCTCCAGCGGCAATGGTCTCGTGATCTGTAAAATACTCAAATCAGAGTGGAATAGACAGGCTCGCCCATGCAGAGAAGCCTTGCAGCTTGATTGATTGATATGTGGGGTTTAACGTCCCAAAACCACTGATGATTATGAGAGACGCCGTAGTGGAGGGCTCCGGAAATTTCGACCACCTGGCGTTCTTTAACGTGCACCCAAATCTGAGTACACGGGCCTACAACATTTCCGCCTCCATCGGAAACGCAGCCGCCGCAGCCGGGATTCGAACCCGCGACCTGCGGGTCAGCAGCCGAGTACCTTAGCCACTAGACCACCGCGGCGGGGCAAGCCTTGCAGCTTCAGCTTCAATGAGAGTTCAGTCGCAATATAAGACTGATGGAGCACTTGGCGCACATCGAGAATGCGACTGACAATTTGTGGCTGGGTGAGCTAAGGAGGCTACGCTCTGAAATTGCGGCAATGTACTGCTTCAAACTGGTCGTCCACACTTCTGGTGACGTAGTTCTACCAGACATCGTACGACGAACGTTGGGTTTGGGCCCCAAGTACGCA